TCTTACAATAGGATAGATTCCTTAGAAACAGATAATAGGGGGCCAGATATGGCTCAGTAAAATAAGTGCCTTTGCCTGGCAAGCTCCAGGGCCTGAGTCCAATTCCTAGTTCCGTTAAAAAAAAAAAGAAAGAAAAAAAGAAAGAAGGAATATGTTTTACAGAAAGAGGTAATGTAAGTTGTATGTAAGCATTTACCTTGAGCTGAGCTATTAGTCATGCAAGTTAAAGTACATGAGTTATTTATGATTTTAAATGTGTCAAAATATACTTTTATCAGCATAAATCAATATTACCACTCGCTTCCAGAGGCCTTGATTTCCGTCTGTTAGTCTGTTCTTGGTGCAAGGGTGTGTATGTGGAGGGGTGCCTCGGGTGGGTGCACCTATCATCTGAAACCCTTTCTGTACATATTTCAACCTTTATTGATAATTAGATGGAAGGGGATGGGAAGAGCAGTGGAAATCCACATAATTGTGCCCCAGTTCCTAAAGAAGACTCTGGTACATTTTTCTTGGATTAATCTGAAAGGGTTAAGCCCTGCCTCTCTATTGATTTACGATGCTTGTTATACTGCCCTAATGCACTCTTTTCACTTTGGGAAAATGCTAAATGAGATTACCATCCAACATTAGAAGGCCATAAACCCTAAGCCGTGGCACCTTCCATTCAGGAGAAGTTTCAAAGACATTTCCAATATACATTATGGCAAAGCCTCTGTATAATCATAGACTCAGCAATGGACTTATATTGACTGCTTTCATTACTGCTGATGGGAAAAAGCCACAATTAGGCAAAAATAACAAAAGGTAGAATTTCAAGAAACATTAGAAGGAAAATTAAATCTGAGTTGCAAATGACATTTAAACAATTTAATTTCATCATATGTTAAGAAGATTCTATAAAGAAATGGTGAATGACAATGAAAAGAGCAAGATGAACTACAGAACTGGAGAATTTGGAACAATAATATGGAAGATAAAATAATTATCAAAAACAAGTTTATCCAAAGCAATTGGTAGAATAGAGTCAATCCCTGAAAATACACATCTATAAGAAAAACATCCAGTTGCAATCACTTGAATTTACTGAGGAACCCATCTGCTGTATCTCTCCCTTTTATTTTCTTGTATTTTTAGATCCCTTCCTTATCTCTGTAAGTACTAGCAGCTTCCTTCAGCTTGACTTTTCCTGCAGTGGCTCCAATGGCCAAGCTGTTGGTGACAGCTTGCAAGGGCAGAAATAGGGCCCCAAAGATTTGAGGCAAGAACAACAATCAGAAGACACACTCAGTAGCTGGCAAAATAAATAAATAAATATTTGTATTAATATTTACTGCTAATATTCACTTAAAAGGCATCCAAGAAAATATACCCAAGTATATTATACTGACAGGTCCAGTGTTCAAACTTTAGGAAAAAAAAAAAAAAAAGTAAGAAAGTATGTACTTCGGTCGTTTTTAATTTTCTAGTGCTTCAAACAATCTGGTGATGGACATAAATTATTACTGCCATTTTGGGTAATATTACATTCTTACCACTTTCTTATAAGTTGAATTAATTGATCAAAGTGAAATGAAAACATTTTCAGTAAGAAGGCGAGTGATGCAATATTTAGAAATCTCCTCTTAAAACTCTCTAAATACAGTTATACGTGGTTATCTATTTTACAGCTTCCTCTTGGTTTCACTGATGCCTCTTCTACTTTCATGTCTTAGAATCTTCTTTGATTTGAGTCTGAGCTTTAAATTCTGAGGAAACTATTTTCCCATCATTTTAGTTCTGCCAATATACATGGCAAATATAATAAGGTACTTTCAGAGCAGAAAAAAAATATGGAGATAGCTCTTCTCAGAACACTCTCCATTCAGAAGACAATGAAGTCATGTAATGACAGTCACTTAGCTGCGCCCCATTCCAGAAGCTCTCAGGAATACAAACGTCATCCATTATGTGCACAGGTATACAACAAAAAGGATCCTCTCCCTGGATCTGGACCTTGAGAGAGTTCCTCAGATATTATAATGAAATAGTAGAAAAAAAGAGTAAAAGAGAAAAGGATGAAAGGAAGGAGAGAAAAAGAAAATTGAAGTGAATGACTAGTGCTAAAATGAAAATTCTAATTAGGGGAGAATTCTGGGATTTGGGAAAGGGGACCATGTACCTGTCAGGCAAATACTGTGCCACTAAGCTATATCCCTGGCTCCTTTTTTTTTTTTTTTAAAAAAAAAGGTCAAAAAATACATACTCCTTGAGGTCAGGGGATCATTTAAAACCCTGTCCAATACATTAAAAGTAGGCATATTATACAGGTATTGGGTCTCTAATTCCTATGGCTCTTAATTTTAAAACACTATGGCTTTACTTTTTTATTTTAAAAAGCTCTTATTTTATTTTGTACAAAACTGTTTATTACATGTTAAGCCCAGCAGCCAGGGTTTCTGTTTTTCTTTTTGTATTTTAGGGAAGGGTCTACAGGGTGTGCAGGGTCTCACTACTAGATCGGGCTCCAATCCGATTGTTGTAGTGATCCAACTG